GTCGATATCCATCAGATAAGAGTGAGAATAAGCCAGAATTACAGTGAAGGAACATGGCAAGGAGGCAAACAGAACACATGGTGTTGTGATCTTCATGGTCGGCAGATTGAAACCAGCCGCAGCTTCATGGGAGAAGACGGGGCTTTCTACTCCAGTAAACAGTCTTGGAAACACACAGGGAATCAGTATGAATCAGCCTGACTCCATGGCAGTGAGTTTGGTATTTTTGTGTATTGAAAGTGATTAAAAACTTTCTATCAGGGATTGGAAATTCAAATGCTCTTAGAGGTTGACGCCTTTAAGCTGATTTCAACTTACATTCCGCTTATGCAGCACAGAAGGGAACGCTGCACAAACCTGCGTCATCGCCATCAGTGCTGTTCCGTTGGAGCCCATTCTTGCAGCCAGGCGGTCACTTACTGAAAGTCTCTCTCTTTTTTTAAACTGCCCATCCGTCTTGACAAGTATGACGTCTTTTCTCAGGGACAAGACTGGTTTTGTGACTTCAGACAGACATATGTCATTTTCACATGTTGTTTTTTTAATCAATCTGTGTGTTCTCTTTTTACTCTTTGGATTAAGTATTTGGCTGTCCATAATGTCATATTTTTAGAAATTCCCAGGCCGCTATTTTGTATTCCGTTGTGTGGTTGCTTTTCATTTTACCTGTCCATAGAGTGGAGTGTAACCATTAAAGCCAGCATTGCTTTTGTTTTGAACTCCAGCATTCGTTACTTCCGGACAAATGCCAATAATGAGCAAAATAGTTGGATAGTAGCATTTTGACTATTACTGGGCAATGTAGATTTATGTGATAGTTGATAAATAAGGAGTAGCTACCCTTGCTTTCTCCATTTAGCTGTCAGTTCCTCTAAATTCTGAGGAGCTTAGACCCTTACTAGGGGGCTGTATTTTTCTCTTTTTAAATGCTTCTACCTCTCCCTTTGATTCCAAGATGTTGCCGAAGAAATTGGATCTCATGGCTGGAAATTTATTTTTTTTATTGAAAAAACAAAAAGGCAAGTATGTAGCTCATAAAAACAAACAAAAATGACTGCCTCCCAGCCTTAAAGGACAAAGTAGAGCTGCTTTACTCGGTTTCTGAAACTGTAAATCTTAACAGGAGTAAATTGCCTCATCCTTTGCCTGGGAGCAATTGGTGGATCTGAACCACCACCTTGGACTAGCAGTCTAGTGCTTAACCCATGAAGCCACTAGGGCTCCTTTTGTAGCTCAGAGAGGTAGGTTAAACTAAACCTACCCCAAATCCATCGCTATTCTAATGCTAGAACCTGTGAATTCACATGTAAATGGGGTGGGGAGTGAAGGGTGATGACGGTGCTTACATGCAAATGAAAAAGAAAACCTGTGGATGTGATGAAAGATGAGAGATTAATGAAATAGCTTGTATGTTTATAAAACAAAGAATGATTTGAAGACAGAAGAGGAGAGAGCAATGTGGCCATGGAGATGGAGACTGGAGTGATGTGACCACAAACCAAAGGATGTGGCAGACACCAGCAGCTGCAAGAGGCTTCTGGTCCTAGATTCTCTCCTAGAGCCTTTGGAGAAAGTGTTTATTTATTGATTTGGGTTCAGTGAAAATAATTTTGACTTCCAGCTTCCAGAACTGTATTAGAAGAGATTTTCATTGTTTTAACCACCAAATTTGTGGTTATTGATTATAGTAGATTTAGAAAATGAACTTACCAAGGACAAGCTACCTGGAATTTCTACCAAGAATGAGTACTGCCGTGGGCTTTCTCAGTTTTGCTGAATTTAGAAATCATAGGGAGGAGTCTTAGAGGAGCTCAACATGTATGAAGTGTATTTGTTCTATCAGAATTAAACCAATCAATGCCAGCTATCTTGTCTACAAACTAGTGGGATAGAACCAAAATGGGTATGTGGGAACTGAGATTCATGGAAGTGCCAACAGATCAATTAAGTCACCCAACAGGTGACAAGTTCTAAACCATTGGGGTTCAGATATCAATTCCACACCCGACCAAATCCAAAGCAAACTCACTCCTGGGGACCCTCTAAGACAGGCAGGGCTGCCCTTGTGGATTTTAGAGACTAGAAGGCCTCATCTTTCTGACATGGAGGGGCCTACTTTACAGCTGCTAATGCAGTTAGGAGCCCAATGCAAAACCATTGATGGCACCAGGGCTCCTACAGCCGAAAGAAAATTCCAGTACTGTGCTAGAGATAATGACTTACACAACAAGAAAGAAAACTAAAGGAATACAGTATACATAGTAAAAACCACATATGTTAAATGTTGCAAATATATACATTTATTATTCTGATTATGTTTATAAAATAAAATTTCATTTTATTTATGTGGGTAAAATCATGCAATTATTTAGTTCAAAGTTAAGTCATAAATAACATTTCAGAGGTTATACTTAAATTCAAAGGAAATAATCATTGCTAGGTTATGAATTAGAGGATTTACTATGTAGCACCATGAAACAGAAGCCTTTTTGCCTAGTGAGAAACTGGAACAAAATAAACAGAAGAACAAAGCAGAAATAAAAGTTACCTTTGCCTGATGTATTATAAATCACCTAAATAATGTAGATAGTTATATAATAATATCAAATTTCTATGAAAAGCATAATGGAAACTGATTAATTCTTTGACACTTTAAAACAAATTAGCATCTTTACATGGACTATTTTGGGGAAATATATGTTTGGGGGAGATTATATTTTTTTGTTTTCTCTTTTTAAGTTGCTGAATAAGTCATCTAGAAGCAGCTTCTGTTCTTCCTTCATAAATTCCAAACTCTTAAAGACTCTGGCAGCCCCATGAAGGGAAAAGGAAAAGAGAAAAGAAACGATAGGGTGTGGTTTAACTTCTACTGCATTTGCCACGAGTACGCAGGAGCGCTGCTGGTGCTGTCAGGTAAGTGTTGTGCTGCTAAGCACAAGATCAGAAGTTCAAGCCCACCAGTCACTTGGAAGGTGAAAGCTCAGGCTCTGGGAAAGACTTAGAGCCTGGGAACCCTTATGAAGGGCCGCAATGAGCAGGGATGGACCCTCTGACAGTAGGTTTGGGTGGAATTCTGAGGTTTGCATATAAACAGCACAGATTACTCAATTCTTGAAAACAATGTGTCTCTTCTTATAAATTCAGACTGATCTGAAAGCAAATCATTTTTAAATTTCTAACTATCCATAATACATAGCCTCAAATGATATGGGAGAGAGTACACAGAAAACTTATATAAATATCATCTATAAATGTATATTTAATTTTCCTGAACCACTTGGGGGCGGCCAGCAAATTCAACTTGGATTATACATGGGGGAAAAAAGTAAAATGAAATATTCTGTTTATATTTACATATAAAATGTGTGTGTGTGTGTGTGTGTGTAAACCTATCTCCAATGTCTAGTTCAGCGGTAAAAAGCTGAAATGTCATTTCTCTTTCTTGAGAAATAGTCACTTTGCCCAAATATATCTAGTATTCTAGTATATTCAGGAAATAAATTCATATTACTGAACTCTAGCTCAGCCTTTGAGAAATTTATTTTAAACTTCAGACAAATTCACTTTTAATTATGCAAGACCCACTAGTAATGAACCCACTCTACAGCCCACTGCTAAGTCTTGGACAGCAGGGTACTAGTAGTGCCAGGTCCAAAATGCAAATGGTGCCATCTGCATCACTGTACCCACTCCAGCAGCATCGCTATTACATCATTAGGACAGCCTGCAAGATAATACAGCAGCGACACCAATCTTTTGAAACCAGTTGAGTTTCTACCTAACTCCCACCAACAGAAACCCAGAGCCAGCTCAGTCAGTCTGTACCCAAGAGCTGTGTCCAATTTCCCTGACCAAAGGAATTAGGAGCAAAAAGAAATAAATAAGAAAACATTAGCTCCTTAAGGACAAATATAAGTAGGATTGAATTTACTATGTTCAATTGCCTCATTGTACAAGGATAGACTGGCCAATCTGGGACAGACTCAAACATTTCTGTTGGAGAAACATCAACAGAATAACGAGATTCTCACTAAAAGGAAGACCATGAAGTAGATAGAAAACATGGTGCTGTAAAATAGAATCATAGGTTGGTGTAATATAAGGTGAATCCTAAACTTTCATAATTTGAAAGTTTATGACCTCCCACTTTTATATTTATTGCAGGTAAATTTACACTAACTATTTCTGACATAATGAAATGCTGGGCAGCATCCCGCACATGACTTACTTCTGGAAAATTCCTTCTTGTTCTTTGTGTATCACTCCAATAAGATGAACATGAGAGTTTTATTTCTGCTTTGGTGCATCCAAAATTACATGTGACTGGCACATTGGGGGAAATGTGGGCATATTAAAAAAATATGTCTATTTAAATGTTTTGCTTCTATAACTACAAGTTTCTTTAAATTTTTATGACTACCTGGGTCATCCCCCAAAGAGCGATGCTTGCAATATAAAAGAGACAATGATAATCATTGTTTATATGTCTCTAATGCAATGCAAGATTGCAGTTACTGGATTCAGTTCAGCAGGGAGAATATTAATCACCAGGTTGTCGCTGTTCATCCACTCCCTTGAGGCTGTGTGAGGAAGCTCTGGGACCCTGGCATTTTACAGTGAGTAATAAAATGACTGTGTTTCTATTGCAAAGGTGTTTCATGACAGGAGGAATTCAAAGTAAAACAACAAAACAAAAAACCCTCTGACTTATTTTTTTTAAAGGAAAGGGAATTAAAAATTCAGTAAGGCAAACCATATATATGTGATATTATCTTAGTATGTAAAATCTTGTAAATAATTCAAAGATTAACACATTTTTTTTTGAAAATACTTTGGTTCCTATCATTACATTTCTTTATAAACACATGCCTAAAGTTAACTGAAAATTTTGCTATCATAATTTTGAAACATAAGAACATCAAATACCAAAAAACTTTCTTCCACGTAAAAATAAGCATTTCACAAAAGTGAAAATAAGAAGCACAATATTAGACATTTACCTTTAAGTTGTATTTTCCTTTCAGGTTTCTCCAGCTTTTCAGTCTTGTCTTTGTGTATTTCTAGAAGGAAATAGAATTTATTTTATTTGTTTAATCATTTTATTGAGGGCTTATACAACTCAATCCATCCATCCATCCATTGTATGTCAAGCACATTTGTATATTTGTTGACCTCATCATTCTCAAAACATTTACTTTGTACTTAAGCCTTTGGTGTCAACGCCTCATTTGTCCCCTCCCTTCCCGCTCCCCGCTCCGTCATGGACCCTTGATGGAAATAGAATTTATAATTTAAAAACTTTCTCTGAGAAAATACAAAATTTAAACTGTAGCTTGTACTTAAACTTTATTGTTCCACTGCAAAACCTAAATTATCATAGTTAGCAATATTAATGTTCTCTAAACTGAGTCTGTAACATAATGCTATGTAGTTCTCTTACCAAAGAGATATCTTTATTGAAAAAAGGGAAAATTGGAGTCCTCTCAAAATTAGTGTATGAAAAATTTTTTTAAATTTAAATGTACAATGACAGATATGTTGTCACTATGCTTAGTGCTAAAATGGATCAAAATCTATAATTATGTCTTATTTCAATTACTCTCAATTCAAATTTAAGAATCCTTAATACAAATGTAATTTAGAATTAGGAAGATTTAGTTTTTACATATTAAATTAAGAATTTGTGAAATGAACTGCATCAACTAGCTAATAGGAATATAAATCTCAGAAGTATTTACTCTAAGCTATGCTTATAATCAGCATTTGGCATCACATTTAACCAATAATTACTGTGAACAGATATAGTACATTCATAGGATCAGTTAGAAGTTACATTTTTTTTTCTCTCAATGTCAGGTTTTAACTAATTTATTCCATTTACTGCTAGATTCAGTATACATCTATTGCCAAGACTTAGAAGATGAAGGTTAATTCTGAATTTACACTTAATTTAAATTGAAGTTAATTTGAGAGTAAAGCTTACAAATATGATTACTGACTCTAAAAAGTCACTTAAACTTAAATATCATGGTTTTTCATGAAAAATGCTAATGAGGCTTCCTTATTTATTTATCAAGATTCTATTCCACAGATGGCCAGAGATGCATCTCCACGTGTAAATTTGCATTTTCTTTAAATTTTCCCAGAAATTTAGTAAATCAAAACCAAACAGGGAAATCCAGCATCTGCTCCAAAAATGTAGTTACCAACTTGCATTCTTCCCTCACTTGCTCTTTTAATGGAATTTCCACCTGACGATGTGGAGGGTCATCCTCTGGCCTTATGCCAGCCCCGACTTTGACTCTCCAGGGCTGACACAACTTCATGCAACACAGCAGTGACTATCTGAAAGAGTTCAGATGCCGACTGAGTTAGTTAATTGTGCCAGCCTGGCCGATAATCACATGTGGTGCTTGCTGGTTGAAAGGCGGAGGGATAAATGGGTGGTGAAGCCTCGCCT